CGTGTGGGAGACCTGAAAGAGGCTCCAAGCTCCTGGTTTCGAACACCGGCCATTGCAAGCCACTTCAAGAGTGAATCAGTGGATGGAAGATCTTCCTTTCTCTCCTCCTCTCTGTATATCTGACTTTCCAATAAAAATATAATAAATAAATAAACAGGTCCAGCATTCGACTGAACAACATTAAAAAAAAAATCAAAGAAACATGGCCCTTCACCATAAGAAACATCAGTCCGTATAAACAGGCTGTGAACACACAGATGTTGTAATGAGAAGCCAAGGACTTCAAAACAGGGCAGGCGTTGGACTTCTCTGGCTGTTGGCTAAGCAACTTCCTGTGACATCAGAACTTCCTGTTAGAATGTGGTTGTGAGTGCCAGCTGCTCGGCTTCTGAGCCAGCTCCCTGCTGACATGTGTGGGAGGGCAACAGGGACGGCCCAAGTGCTCAGGCGCCTGGCACCCATGGGAGAGATCAGGGCAGAGTCCTCGGCTCCAGGCTTTGGCCTGGCTCACACCTGCCACTCGCAGTCATTTGGGGGAGTGAACCAGGAGATGAAAGATCAATATATCTATCTCGCCCAATTTTTTATCTCTCTCTCTGCTGCTCTACATTTACAAAAATAAAAGTATTTTGAAAAAGCTATCATCAGTATGTTTAAAATGTAAGGAACATGAATGCAGTGAAAAGTACAAAATCTATGAAAGAATTAAATGGAAATTTCTAAGAATGAAAAGTGTAACATCTAAAGATGGAAATTCCTGGATGGGTTTAGTAGTATAAGAAAGACTGCAGAAAATCAACAAATGTAATGACAAAACAGTGGAAATGATTCAAGCTGAAGAATTAAGAGGAAATAGACTTTCAAAATGTTCCAGAGCTTCAGAGAAGCTGAAATAATTTTAGATGGTCTATCATACATGTAATCAGAGTAGGAGAGAGATCAGAAAAAAAAAAAAGCCAGAAATAATGATGGATGAAAAATGTCCCAAATTTTTGGTCTCCATTGAGTCACGTGACTACTTAGGCCTAGCAATAAAGAGGAAGTGATTGAGAGCAACCAAGATAAAAAGGCACATTGCCCAAAAAAGACTTCAAAGTTAAGAAAAATCACCAACTCCTCCTAAAATCAGCTTCAGAGACAATGGAATAACAGCTTCACTGCATGGATGTACAAATCAAAACCAAAAATTGCTGGAGTCCAGCTCCAGCTGAGTTGCCGGAGTCCAGCTCCAGCTGAGTTTGGAACTCGCGAAGGGTGTGCGGATGAGGCGCAAAGAGGAAAGAAAGACGGACCACTAGGATTTCATGATCATAATGGACAATGCAGGAAAGCTGTCCACTTTAGTTATACAAAATCAGTCAAACTCTGGCTCAGACTTTTTATGTCATGGTCAAGTTGGGAATTTCTAAGGATAATTCTGCCATTAGTTTTGCCTAGAAACAATAGAAGTTCCTGCTACAATTCTTATCCTACAACTCAATCTTGTATCACAAAGAAAAGGGTAATCTAAAGAATGAGGAAAGAATGAAAGCCTAAATGTAGGTCCCTTGATTAGCATAAGGTCAATGGGGACAGCCAAGACAGTAGGAATAATAGAAGGCCCTTGTGCAAGACGCTATCACCGACATTAACCTCCAAGCTCACACTGAGCAAAAGGCCAGCCTCACAGTAGCAAACAATGCCTGCATGGATTAGAATTCCCCGGCAGGGTGGTCCGGTGTCCATGCCAAAGAAGGTGGAGCTGCATTCAGGTGGCTGCAGAGACTTCCGTGGGGCTCTGCCAAACCGGGGGAAGTTCCCTGTGGCTCTGCCTGTAATGGAACAATACTCTTCATACCTTCGTGTCCCCTACATCCACTGCATGGACCCCAACAAAAAATAAAACTGCAAACCAAAAATCCATGTTCACAGTGAAAATGCACTAAAAATTAGAGATGAGACCTTGGTGGGTGTTGTGGTGCTGCAGGCTAACCCACTGCTTGAGGTGCCTGCAACCCACATTGTAGTGCCTCTTTTGAGTCCTGCTACTTTGTATTTCCAACCTACCTTCCTGTTAATGTGCTTGGGGGGCAGCCGATGACGGCCCAAGTTCAGTGATGGCCCTGTCATTCATGTGGATGACCCAGATGGAGTTCCGGGTTCCTGGCTTCAAGCCTGGTCTTAGTTTGGCTATTATAAGCATTTGGGGAGTAAACCAGTGGGTAAATCCCTCTCCCCCTTTCTCTTTCTTTCTGCCTTTCAAATAAATAACAAATAAATCTTTTACTAAAATGGCATGGGGGAAAGAAAGGTGGTGAGTTTTGTTTCCAGTAGACCTGCACAATATCAAATATTACATTTATTGCTCAGGCAGAGAAATAGGTGACCAGCTTAAGCATTCTGGTTAGTTTGTGTTTTTTAAACATTTACTCATTTGGACCCAGCACGGTGGCCTAGCGGCTAGAGTCCTCGCTTTGAACGCGCCGGGATCCCATATTCACGCCAGTTCTAATCCCGGCAGTTCCACTTCCCATCCAGCTTCTTGCTTGTGGCCTGGGAAAGCAGATAAGGATGGCCCAAAGCCTTGGGACCCTGTACCCGTGTGGGAGACCCTGAGGAGGTTCCTGGTTCCTGGCTTCAGATCGGCGCAGTACCGGATGTTGCAGTCACTTGGGGAGTGAATCATTGGGCAGAAGATCTTCCTCATTGTCTCTCCTCCTCTCTGTATATCTGACTTTGTAATTAAAAAAATAATAATAAATCTTTAAAATAAATAAATAGATAGATAGATAGATAGATAACTCTTTTTTAAAAAAAGATTTACTGATTTGAAAGGGAGAGTGGTGGGGACAGGAGAGACAGAGAGAGTCCATCTGTTGGTTAACTTCTCAGTTACTGTAACAGCCAGAGATGGTCCAGGGCAAAGCCAAGAGCTTGGAACTCCAGCCAGGTCTGCCACATGGGCACAGGGCCTCAAGCACTGGGCCACCTTCTGCTGCTTTCCCAAGCACATTAATAGGAAGCTAGATCTGAAACACAGCAGCCAGAATGCTAACCACCACACCATGATGGGATGACAGCATTGCAAAGGGCAGCTTAACTTGCTGCACCACAATGCTGGCCTCTCAAACTCGTCAATATCAAGACAATGATTTTGGCACTATCCAAAGGTAGGCCTTGCTGGGGGCGGGGGTGCCGAGACAGCCTGCTGTAAACAAGAGCCCTAGGGAGAGGAGTTGCTTATCCCCAGTGGTTTTAGCAGCTGTCCACTCAGACCGCATGCCCATTCCTAAACTTTGATTGGCTGGATCAGGGACCTAACCCTAATCCTAACCCTGTTGTAGTCATTTAGAGAGTGAACCAATGGATACTGTGTGCGTGTGTGTGTTCCTCCCTGTCACTCTGTCTTTTGAACAAATAATAAATGTTAAAAAGAAAAAAAGATGGCAGCAGCAATGCCACGCAGCCCAAAAGCACCTGTGGGAAGCAGGTTTAACTCCTCTGATCCCTGCCACTGTGCCAGGCACGTTTTCTTAGGATACCCATTATATGGAAGAAGAAACTGAGGGCAACAGAGATAAAACCTCTTAATACCAGGGCACACAGCTGGGATGTGGTACAGCCCGGCCTCTTTTCTAACACACATGCTGCCTTGGGGAGTGGCGGCTAACTAGCGTGGTCACACACCTGGCCCGCCACCAAGTCTTGTCTACACCTGTGAATTCCAGCACCCTCACCGTGCCATCCTCCACACCCACGCACATAGGATGCTGCCAGTGTTCCCAGCCTAGGAGAGAAGGAAGGGCTGGCTCTGCCCGCTCCCCACGACCCTGGGACAAATTCTTGTCTGTCCTTATCCTCCCCAGCATGAACCCTGGCCACCCCTTGACCTTCCCCTCAGCATGTCTGCGTCTCCTCTCTCCCCTGGAAGTACACCTGTTGCTGGGTTTAGGGTCCACCCCGCTAAAATCCACCATGGTCCCTCCCTAAGACCTCTAAGGCAATTCACATCTACAAACACCTCCCTTCCCCAATAAGATCACAACCACTGAGACAGGGGCCTTAGCAGGTAGAAGCTATTTAGGGGATAAGGAGAGATCATTGAAACCCCATAACAGAGTTGGAAACCTTCTTCTTCTTCTTTTTTTTTTTTTTTTTTTTTACCTTCCAGGGACCATTTGGATCTTGAGAGCATCATTCTCAAGTCACACAAAGAGGATTCATTAAAAAATGATCCTGCTAGGAGATTTACTGAATTCTGAGTCCCAGCTGCAATGGGACTCGGGCCAAACCAGACTGACTATCTCACAGGCTGCCTGACCTCCACCCTTGCTCCACGGAGTGGAAAAGTGGCCAGCCAGTTGGGAGTTGGGAGAGAGACACCAAGCCACCAAGCCTTTAGTGAGTGGGCGAGCAGCAGTGGGTAATGGGGGCTTTTTTTTTTTTTTTTTTTTGCTGGTGTCTCTCTGGTTTTCTGTTTCTCTCTTTTGTTTTGAGATCTCTCGGCCCTCTTTTTTGGAAGGTGCACGGTGCCGGGCCCTGTGGTTATTTTTGCCCAACAGCTGTGTTTCCGGCAAGCAGCTGTGGGATCCTTCTGACTCAGCACTACTGCGACAGTAACCGTCCAGAAACCGCTCAAGCAAACACTGGAAATAAAGATGCCAGCTCTGCCCAGGCTCCCTCCCTGCATGGACCGCCTATGGGGTAGTGGGATCTTTTCAAACTTTCACAATGCACCGTTTTTTTTTTTTTTTTTAAGTGGCTTGTCAGGGTAGTGCCTGGCCCTGCAGTGGGGGGTCCTGCAGTGTCTTCACCCGCAGCCCAGCCCAGCTCCGCCTGGGGCTAACCGCGCCTTGTAAGGTTCCCACAGGTCTGAGCAGTGAAAGCAGAGGTGGCAGGAACTGTGGTTTCCTGGGGTGTGGCTCCAAGATTCCTCCACCAGGCCTGGGATCTGCAAGGTGCAACTTGCAGCTCGCTCTCTCTCTCTCTCTCTCTCTCTCTCTCTCTCTCTCTCTCTCTCTCTCTCATTCAGGTGATGATTTCACCTCGGGGCCTGGGAGGCAGCCACGCCTTACTACTGCCCTTACCCTGCCGAGGGGAGGGGCGCTCTGGTAGCCCGCCAGGAGCACAGGAGTGGGTGGGCATCCTCGCCCAACGTGCCAGCCCCGTGCATGCTGGCGCCTGCAAAAGACTCGCAGCGAAGCGAGACAGCTGCCTGCGGAGCGTCGTCGGCGCCGCCACTGTTCCGAGAAAGAAAGGAACAAATAAATTTAGCTCCGTCCCACGCGGTCCTCACAGCTGAAGCACCGCTAGACATGCGGAAGGCCTCCGTTCCGACCCCTGACTTCTCGGCCACTGCCCTCTACAAGGGACTTTTGAAGGAGGTAACTGATTCCGGCCTCGCCCCTACTTCTCCCTCATCCCCGCCCCTCCTGTCTTTGCCCCTGCCCCAGGCGTTCAGGTTCAGGTTCTTGCGAGTATTCCTTTGGAAGCCAGAACACAGGGAAGGCTACAGAGAGGTGGCCAGTCTGTCCCCTCCCAAAGCCGCTGGTGTGAAAAGCATCATTTGTGGAAATGAAGGACTTGCCAAATGCACTTCAAGACGGGAAGGGAGCGCTGAGGCAGGGGAGGGGTGCATGTGGGCTAGAAGCAACCCCACTTAAAGGCTGGTCTTTGCCACACCACCTAAGGGCCAACACAGCCCTCCACTCAGGTGTGAGTCAGGAGTCCCACCCCTGACACTGAACCAGCAGCAATGACAAGGGGTAGCCGTGGGCACTATGGGGCACCCCGCACTGACCATCGCTGTGGTGGGGGTATGCCAACCTCTGGCTTACCTGTCCAGATGTGCTCTGCTGGCTTCTGCCTGCAGCATTTCTCACCCACACTTCTCCATAAGGCTTGGGCCTCACCTTTGGCTCTTGCTCTGGAAATGAGCAGGCGGTCCAGACCCCAGCCAGGAGAAATCTCACTCGTGTCTTGGCCACAGTGATTTGTTTCTGGAAGCCACAGACAGGAGTCTAGCTGAGACCGCTAGAGGCAGCCTTTGGCTATGGTGCTGGGCCTTGAAGGCAGAGGCCGGGTTCTAAATGTGTTGCTGGTGATTCACTATATAGGACAGAAGCAGGATGAGGGTGGGGCCAGCGCAGAGGAACATGTATCCTGATGGCCAGTGGAACCCCTGGATCCAGCAGAGAATCAACTGACTTTCGCCGAGGTCTCCACCGTACCAAGGGAAACCAGCTCTGAGACCTCCATTTTCTCACCTGAGGAATGGGACAATAATAAGCACTAACTATGGGTGCTGTGGATGCAGGCTAGCTTCCGGAACTCAGGGTGAAGACAAACATGTGAAAAAGCTTTGGAAGTCCCCCAGCCCGTGGAAGGACGCCGCTGCAGTGTCAGCTGCCCTTCCTTGTCACAGGCTTGGCTGAGTGCCAGCCTGGGAGCTTGCTGGGACCTCAGGATGGGCTGCCCCAGAACAATGCATCTTCAACTCTGCTCCCTGATGCCCAAGCGGGGCGAGTTGGCCCTAGCACATCCGAGGGCACACGTGGCCACGCTGGGTGGCATTTATGGTTGTCACAACAGAGGACACAGATGGGCGCTGCCTGCCTATCCCGGTGGAAACCAGGCCGCCTCCACACATCCTCCAGCCCCACCACAAAATAAGCAGAAAGCAGCAGCGCAGCAGCCGGGCCACACATCTCCATCCAAAGGAAGGAGTGGAAAGCAAGCTCTGGGGGATCCTGGGTTTCTGGCTCTGGCCAGGCCTGTGGTTCTTTGTGGTTGTTGTTGAGTGCCGGCTTGTGCCCCTGTGGATGACACTGTGAGAGGCCACATCCACAGCCAGCTCTGTGCCCTTCTTTAGGAGTGACATGGGGGTTGCACTTGTCTCCCCCAGGTAAAGGCACTGGGGCACCTGGACTTTGTTCCCCAGTTCATACACCTGCTCTCTCCCCTACCTGGACAGCTCTATCCCATTCCTCACCTGTACAACTCTCATCCTCCTGCAAGTCTCAAGTCTTTCCAGACATTCCAGAAATAATCATGTGCCCCTCACCCCTACCCTTCAAGCCCTCAGTGCATCCGTCACCTCGGGCAATTCCTTCTCCTGAGCGATTTCTGGATGGAAGCTGGGTGAGTGCATTCGTAGAATCACACATCTCGCCTTAATGCCTCGCCTTCAAGGCTGTTCCTTTTCCTTCTTCTACGAACATTTTGCCTTCATCTACCCCGTTATCACGTCTCTCTACTTCCCACAGGCAGCCACTTCAGCATCTTCAAAATAAATCCTTCCAACCCACTTTCCAATGCTCCTGAGACACACGCGGTGTGTTACTGGGAGTTTGTTTCAGATTTGTGTCAGTGGTGTCAGGGCCATGCATCTCCGTCTAGTTTCTGCTTTTTCCACTTCATCCCTCTCTGTAGGAGCTCTCTGGGATGATGCATGCAAACCTAGGGCGTTGTGTATCAGTTCTGCCTGTTGCATATTGTGTCATCATTGGCCTGTACCGTAGTTGTTATATCCCAGGCATGGGAGGTGCGGAACACCTGTGCCTCCTGTCTATGCCCAACTTGGCCACCGCCGACATCCTCACATGTGTTTCCAGAGGGCCCTGTGCAGGAGTGGTGGCTCTGGTGGATGCCCCAGCACCTCAGGTTGTTGCATTCTCCAGCTGGGTCCTCTGAAAAGATATGTGGAAATTCCCACCTCTGGGACCTCAGAATGAGACCTTGTTCATGAGCAAGGTTCACTAAAGATGAGATTACTTAAGGTGAGATGCTTTAGAAATAAGATGGGTCCCTAATCCAACATGATTGGTGTCCTTAGTAAAAGAGGAAACCCAGGGGAGGCTGGAGACACATAGCAAAGGTGACATGTCACACAGACTGGAGCAATGCAGCTGTGACCCAGGAACTGCCGAGGGGTGACATCCACCATCACAAGCTAGGCAGAGGCAAAGGACTCAGTTCTTTCCTATTCTGTGGATCCACACCCCTCTGAGCGCTTGGGTCTTGGAATGTTCTCAGACATTTCCCCAAAGGATCAATACTGATAGTTTTCTTCATGCCTGTATAGATGCATACTATGATATGCTACATATCCAGTCATCCAACCATCAATCCATCAATCCATCTGTCTATCCATCCATCTACCCATCAGTCCTTCTATCTTCCCACCCACCTGTCTGTCCTTTCATCTATCATCTGGTCAGCCATTCATTCTACAGATTCTTGTTGGACACCTACTCAGTGCTAGGTCACATTAAAAAAGGAAAAAAAGAAGAGAGAGAGAGATAAACAGGTCTTTGCCGTCATGGAACTTCTTGGTGGGGAGACACAAATAATTGCACAAAACTCCTCTGTTTTGTTATTATTCAAAAATTCCACAAGGTAGTGTGTCACACAGCAAAACCCAAAGGCATCTGCTGTTTTCCATCTCTGGGATACAGCAAGTCATGGGGGCTGCTCCCACAGCTCTTGGTAGGACTCTAAGCTGGGAAGGTGGGTCCTTAGAGAGGGGGCAGCAAACACACCAAGATATCAAGTCCCCCCACCCTTCACCACGGTCACATGGTAGATTTGTAAGAGACTCACTTTCTGCCCCTTGGGCCACTGCCAAGCAAGCACATTAAAGGCCGGCCAGCCAGGGAAGGATCATCTTCTCCATGGTCGGGAAGATCATGGGGAGCTCCTTTCTCCCCAGCAGAAACACACGTGGGGAAAAGCATTTGACTTGGAGTCCACTTAGGGGGTAACTGTCATGTGGCTGTGGAAACAATCAGCTGGCTTCCCTGGTGGCATTTGTTTTGGGCTGCTCCTGTGCCCCTGGAGAGAGAGGTAAAGTGAAAGGGAGGAGGGAGAGAGGGAGAAAGAGAGAGAGAGAGAGAGAGAGAGAGAGAGAGAGAGAGAGAGAGAGAGAGCACACAGCCCCCGATCAAGGCTGGGACAGGGGACCTGTAGAGCATCCACTCAGCGCTGTCAATAACCGGGTTTTACGGATGCCTGGATTCACAGGCCAGAGCTTAGTGCCTCTGCATCGATTTCACTATCATTTCAGGCAGAAAGCAACCTCCGTGGAGCCCCCGCTTTCCGCCGCTTCCCTTCCTGTGTAGGACATGGCATTCCATTAGGAAAACCAGACTACTCGGAGGACGGCGTGATGGATGAGCCTGACGTGATAATCTCACTGAGCAATTACAGGGCTGTCCTATTAGAGGGAGACACCCCCGTGTACTCGGAACGCTCCGTGATGTTTGCCACTGGAACATGGGAGAAAGCCAGAAAGGCAGAGCACAGGCCGACGAGCCGGGAGCCTGATCTGTTAGGGAGCAACCAGGATCAGCCTCAGAAGCCTTTGGACGGTTGTGTGTCATAGGCAGGGAGAACGTTTCCCCATGTAATTTCAGAGTCCAAACAATGAAAATTAATTCCTGAGCAAGTATCTGTTGAGGCCATGGGTTAAATACAAGGGCTGAAGTGGTAATCACTGTTCTCATGGAACTTTTGACCTCCTTAAGGTAAATACAGCTCCTGGATCCCAGATAGAGAGTAGGCACGCACATACACAGGAGACAGAGATAGATGCTGCATGTGCAGATATGTAGATGCATAGAGATATAGGTGTACACACACAGATACAAAGATGCATGAATATATTGATGATACGAAAGTGAAAACATACATAGATATGTGATGGGTAGATTGGATGCACTTGACAATCTTAACCAAAAGGCCTAGAAGCAATGGATAGATATGCAGGCAGGTGGATGGATGGATGGATGGATGGATGGATGGATGGATGGATGGATAGGTAAGTAGATAGATAGATATGCAGACAGGTGGGTGGGTAGACGGGAGGACACATGGATAGATAAGACAGGTAGGTAGAGAAATAATTAGTAGTCATGGCAGCCAGTGCTCATTTCCCACTAAATGAATCCTACATCCATGCGCTGTGCCAGATTTAGCAAGTAGGTAACCCTCCATGGATGTCCTTCCTTACACGTAGCCTCTCTTAGGGGTTGAATTCCACCTGAAACACATTCCCTGCCCCTTCCAGGAAATCTATGTTGTTGCCCTAAACCCCCAGCAGAATGCAGTCTGGGAGGACGCAGTCAAGCTTCAGTGAGGTCATAGGGTGAGTCATGCAGAGGCGGACGTGCTTGCAATCAGAGGGGTGCACCAAAACACATTGAGGGGAGTGCCGGGGAGGACAGATATGGACAAAAGATGGCCTTGGAAAGACAAAGGAAGAGGCTGGGGTGATGCGTCCAGCAAGGGGTCAACAGAAGCTGAAAGAGGGAAAGAGAAGTCCTCCCCTAGTGGCTTTGGAGGGGGCACACCTGCCTACCTGCACAATTCTAGACTCAATCAACTGGTGTTGTGCCCAGTCACCCAGTCTCTGGGAATTTGTTGCAGCAGCCTCCTGAACACACACACGCACACGTGCACACACACACAAACACACACCTACCACTAGGAAACGGGCACAGTGCTGCCTCTATCCCAGGCCAGGTCTGTGCTGGCCATCCTCTGCCGTGCAGCATGCCTCTTGGCATGAAATTTCATTGCTGTTTCTCCCATTTGGGAACTCAGAGAGTGGTCAAGGAGGCTTCTGGAGTGAGGGGGTGTGGTTAGTAGGGAGCATTCACCTCTGGGCAGGCAAGACTTGGAGACTTCATCCTCCAACCTTGGACATCCTAGCTGGTCCACCACACTGACCTGTGGGTGCTGGTGAGGTCATCTGAGGGGTATGTGTGGCCACACTTGGAGTGTGTGCACACACACACACACACACACACACATGCACCTGCACACACAGAGAATAGCTATTCCAGGCATGCTCATTAGCAGCTAACTTTAATTATCCCTAATACTTGCATCTCAAATACCAAAGACTTTTGCGTGTGCTGTCTATGAACACATACCAAAAATAGTTCTGTACAGTAAACGCCAGAGCCTAGAGCCCGGAGCCTGGCTGATTGCAGTTTTTTCAGTTGAAGTCGCCACTCCTGGGAGTCCTTGGGTGCTGCTGAAGCAGGAATCTGAACACAGACTCTCTGCAAAGAGCAAACCTGCCCTGCCCCCAGCCAAGTGCATGCAGGTGAGCACTTTGGGGTGCCAAGACCAAGATGCCTTGCCCCCAGGGCTTCCGTAGCAGGGTGGGCAGGGGGAGAGGGTCAGCCTGAAATCTGGCCCCTGAACTTCACAGCTTCGGGTAAGGAACCCTCACCCCTACTCCTAGGATGCTGCCAGCTATGCAGCTACGTGTATGTTAAGTGGCTGCAGACTTGCAGGGTGAAAAGTACCTTGAATGTCAGTGAGAAGGGGAAGGGGACAGCCTTTCTACCGTCCATCTCTCTCTCTCTCTCCTTCCATGGCCCTGAATACCTAATGTTGGCTGCTGCCTTGATTTATTCATCATAGCAAGTATCCAAGGGGGAAGAAAGAATTACAGGAGCACATAGCTTTCTCCCCACCTGCTGTCCACAGAAAGAAGGGCCAGTGTCATTTACAGTGGGTTGAAAGGCGGCCTTCCAAAATGTGTGTCCTTGTCCTTCCCCGCTAGGGAACTGGTGAATGTGACTTTGTTTGGGAAAACGGTTTGCAGATGTAATTATATGAAAGACCTCAACATGAGATCATTCTGGATTGTGGGCTGGCCCTTGGTTCTGATGACAAGTTTCCCTCCAGGAGACATGCAAAGGTGGCAGGTGCTGGAGCCATGCAGCCACAAGCACAGCTATGCCAGCGTCCACCGGAAGCTGGATGTGCACAGGGCAGGGTCTTCCCTAGAGCATGGTTCTGATACCACCCGGACTTTGGACGTGGGGCCTCCAGAACCATATTCACTGTCACAAATCGCCGATTCTCTTATGGTTCTGGAGGCCCCACGTCCTGAAGAAGGTGACAGGATTTGGACAGTAAGAATGGCAATGAAAAACCACATTTATGGAGAACCTGCTACAGGACAATTGCTTGCCCAGCTCAGAGAAGACGGAATTGAACTTGAGCCCTGCCAGGTGAACCTAGCTGCCTCTTCCTACTTCTCTTCCTCCTAAGAGGAAAAAGTAGAAGCTCTCTTGAGAAGGGGAAGAGGGGAAAGGAATGTGTTACTAGGGCACTGTCCAAAATTTTGTGGGACAGCAAAGTGAAAACCTAAGTTTATTTTTGGTGCAACATTTCTCATGAAACCCACAGGTAACTTTCTGAAAAACCCTCCCCTTTCATCTGCGTCCCCATCATTGAATGACGTAACCAGAGTGTTGTGAAGTACAGGATTCCACTAAAATGCAAATTCATCTTCATAGTGTTTGCCTTTAAGTCCATGCATCCAGGTGGCTCCCGGGAGCTCTGGGGCAAGGAAATGATATCAATCTGTCTTTGATTCTGTCTCTGAACAGAATCTGGCCAGTACAGCATCCAAGGGGCTCCACCGAAGCACTGAGGTCTTCCAGCCAACCCAGGTCTCGTCTGCAGGGTTCTGGAAACCAATGTTCTGAATAAACCACCACATCGTTCAATAGTTAGTATATTAATGTAATAACTCATGTTCTATTGCTACGTATACATCATTGTTCTGGAAGGGCAAGCTTTTGGCCCAGCATCCCATCTCTGCGGATCCAGGTTTGAGTCCCTACTATCCTCCTAACTCCAGCTCCCTGCTAAGTTATATCCCGGAGGACTTGCAGTGATGACTCAAGTACTGGTTCACTCCCCAAGTGACCGCAATGGCCAGAATTGAGGCTGTTAGAATTTTTCCCCATTAATTTTTGCCAAGAGGTCAGACGCAGTGAGTCACACAGGAGGTTTTTATTCCAGCGGGAGAGGTGGCTAAGGCGGAAGGCAGAGAAAGCAGAGCCGAGGAAGAAGACCGTGAGAAGGGAGAGAAGGCAGAGAGAGAGAGAGAAGAGAGATCTCTGGCCATAGTGACAGGAGGGGGGCTCCAAGCTAAGAGAGAGTGCTCACGAGGAAGCATGCTTTTATGGCCAGGGGTGGGTACTGGGAAAACAGGCAGTGAGGTATTGGGAAAACGGGCAGTGAGGGATTGTCAGGGCCATGGGGGATTGGTAGATGTAGCAGTAAGCGGGTTCTAGCGGGAGGCTGCCACAAGGGATTGGTGGATAGTGCCGTCTAGTGGTACGGTGCCAGGAGGTTACACTGAATTGATGGGAACAGGGTTGCGAAGTTACATCCCATTGGCGGAGAACAAAATTTGAACCTAAAAGGGCACAGACCTTAAGAAAACCAAGACCTAGGGGAAGCAGATATTTAAAATGGCACCAAATCTAAAATGGAGGGGTCTTATCAGTCTTCAGGGCCTTACAGAACTGATCCGAAGCCAGGAGCCAGGAACTCCTGAATTCTGGGTCTCCCACATGGGTGCAAGGTCCCAAGGCTTTGGGCTGTCCTTGCCTGCTTTCCCAGGCGGGACACTAGCAGGGAACTGGATGTGATGTGAAGCAGCCAGGACAGGAACTAGCACCCATATAATACTGTCACTTGCAGGTAGAGGATGAGCCTATTGACCTACCATGCCAACCCCCAAAATAAATCTTAAAAAAAAAAAAAGTTCTGATACATGTAACCATATGCATAAAATCACAAAAGCACTATGCCAAGTGAGAGATGAAAGTACAAATATTGCCCGATTCCACTTACATGAAATGTCCTGAATAGACAAACCTGCAGAGTTAGAAAGCAGTGACAGTGGCCAGAAGTGGGGAAGAGCTTCCAGTTAGCGGGGTTTTATTTTGGTGATAAACATGCTTTGGAACTAGATGGAGGCATTGGGTGTACAACATGTTGAATGTTCTAAATGCCACTGATTGGTTCACTTTCCATTGGGTACTTTTAGAGTATGCCAATAAATTAAAAAGTGAAGTTTGAAAAAATAAGTTCATTCATTTCATAAAAATATGAAGAAATTAATAGCATATACGGTGAAGATCAGGAAGGTGGCACTTTGAAAATACGGTTGCCCCTGGGGCCAGCTCAGTGCTTGAGAAATACTCATTGAGCTCAGCTCAGCCCGGCTCAGCCCGGCTTAGTTAATTGAGTTAAGGCGAGTTGAACGGCGCTGAAGGCACCAGCTGGTGGGCCTGGAGGCACTCCAAGCCGAAGACGTTAAGAATTACGCTAATTCAATAAGCTGCAGCCACATAGGCCAGGTAATGAGACGGCACGCCTCCTCTTACCTGGCTTACCTGTATCAGGCAGGCACCACGGGAGCCATGCCCACCTGGTAATATGGTACTTCTTGTCCTATAATCCCCCCTGTGTGTCTGCTGGAGGCAGAGAGAAAGAGAGACGTGGGGAGAGAGAAAGGGAAAAGAAATTCAGGCTCAGCTGGAAGCTCCTGTGAAACAGAAGAAAATGCCTGAGGGGGACAAAAACTTTCTATTTATTCTTTTAAAGATGTATTTGTTTAAAGAGTTACAGAGAGGGGAAGTCAGAGAGAGAAAGATCTTCCACCTGCAGGTCACTCCCCAAATGGCCACAGTGGCCACAGCTGAACTGGGAAGTGGAGTAGCTGGACCATGTGGCATGTCAGTACTGCAGACAGAATAACAGCCTTTCATGCCCTCACACCAGCCCCCAAAACTTTCTGCATCTTCCTCTTGCAAAGTGCTCAATGCACTTGGGCAGGGGGCGGGCAACGTTACCTAGAGCCCCTCCTCAGGCAGCTGTTATGCCCCCTGCCCAATATAATGCTGTCACTTGTAGGCAGCCTCATTCTCCATTTCTGATCCAGCTCCCTGCTAATGCACCTGGGGAACGCTGTGGAAGGTGACACAGTGACCTGAGCTCCTGCCGCCCATGTAGGAGATCTGGATGGAGTTCCAGGCTCCTGGCTACGGCCTGTCTAGCCCTGGCCATTGCAGCCATTTGGAGAGCTAACTAGCACATGGAAGATTCAGCTGTTTGCTCCTTCTCTCTGTCATTCTGCCTTTCAAATAAATAAATCTTTATTTAAAAACAAGCCACCTCATTTTCTTTCATCCTGATGGCTCGGGTTTGAACCTGGCTCAGTACCTCATTTATGTCTTTCAAGAACCTTTATTAAAAAAAATTATTTATCTATTTGAAGAGTAAAGTGATACACAAAGAATCTATTTGTGTCTTCATCATGCTCTCAACAGCCAGGGCCAGGTGTGGCTGAATCGAGGAGTCTAGAACTCCTTCCAGGTTTTCCGCTTAGGTGAGAGGGACTGAGCACTTGGGAAGACTCCACTGTCTTCCCAAGTAAGATGCTTGGGGAGTGGAGCAGCTAGGACTTGAACCAGCACTCAGATATGGAATGTTGAAGGAGTTGGGGGGGGGGGCGGGCACAAGCTGCAGTTTAACCCACTGCGCCGCAGTGCTGGTCCCAGAAAACCTGGTGTTTGAAGTTCACATTGGGGCCTGGAGACCAGAGACCAGGCTGGAGGACAGTGGGAGGACAGAGCCACTGGCTGCTACAAGCATGTGGTAAAGGTAGCAGGTGATAGTTCAGGGTGTTGGAGCCCTGCCACTCCTGTGGGAGTCCTAGTTTGAGTTCTGGGCTGGCCCAGACCCCAGCCTTAACAGGCATTTGGTAAGTAAAACAGCAGATGGGAGCTGTGTGTGTGTGTGTGTGTGCACGCGCGCGCCTTTGGAACAAATAAAATTTAAAAAAGAAAGCACGCATGGAAGCTTAACATGAACCAGAACTGCGGGAAGGTTGAACAGGGGGAGGCCCCCAGCCACAGGTCCCCATCCTCCTCTCTGCTGCAGCAGATTCCATGATCTCCCAACCGGACTGTCCTTGTGCAGTAGTGGGGCTGGCACAGCAGAGGGCATCCTGGGGCGGGAGGGGTGGCCTCAAGCACCGGAAGAAAGGTTGGATTGGAACTCTGGGAAGATGCAAGATAGGCGATGAGAGCCAGGCTAAACCTCAAACCAACACAGGAAAGCTGCAAAGGAGAGGGCAGGCCTGGATCCAGCTGTGTCTGAAGCTCACACAGCCCTGGCTTCTCAGTGAAATAGCCCAGTAGCTTTCCAAGCTGGCGCAAGTCCATCGAAACTGGGATTTTGTCACTTGGCAACTGAAACCTCATGATTAATACACATGGGCAAGTTATTTAACCTCAGTAAGTTTCTGTTGTCTTGTCTATCAAGTGTCTCTGAAAATCTATAAACCTCACCTCTCAGTGGTCTTACAAACACATATATCACGTCGCAAAGACAGCACGACATTGGCCACCTTGAATTAGCAGCTGGTCCATGTTACTATTCTCTGAGTAAGGGCAGAAGGGAGTCCCCAACAAAACAAGTGCCCTGCTTCCCATGCAGCACGGAGAAAGCAGGAGGTGGCATGTCAGATAGGGGTGCATGCGAGCCCCCCTCTTTCCCTCTGGAATCTTCTCCAATGGGGAGTAGTATTTCTAAATGACTGTGCAGGTGACACTGAACCTGGGCAAAGCCCTTCAGACATGCAGGTCCCCAAGCTCTCAAAGCCGGAAAGTCAGATACTACTGCACAAGATCCCCTCCCTCGACCCACAATCAGGATGTGCACAAAGTGGCCAGGGTGGGCCTGCCCTAGGGAGTGTCATTTGGGAACGCTACTGAGGTTTGCTCAGGAACTCTCCAAGTGACAGCACAGTAATGGCCCCCAGGGTGGGGGGTCCCCACGGAATTTTTTGCAACCGCTCAAATGTCTCATTTCCCATTGTTCACCAGCCCCTCCCAGGAACCTCAACTGTCAAGACGTGGGCAAACACAGGCTGCTTCCTCAGGCTCCAACACTGAGGTTGGTGCTGGCTGCCCCTCTGTGTCAGGAAGCTGGCTGGGGCTGGGC